TGAAGGCATTTAATAAATTGCGAGTAAGATTATAGCAAACAATTGTCTTCGCCGGGACGATCCTTAAAATAGTGAACGTGTCATAAATATGTATGTATGATTGCATGTAACATAATTTTGACGTTTTCGAACGTAAAAGAAATATCCCATTTATAGATTTGTAGCCCAAACTAATTTATTGGTTCTCAAATTCTCTACTGATACGTCATATCGACAGTTGAGCTCACTTTAGCACCAGATCGAGTTCCGATCGTCCACAAATGTTCGTATTGTACATGAGTACTACTACTGTATTACTACTACTACTACTACTACTACTACTACAATAAAGATATACATGGAAAGATAAATAAAATGTTTTCTATTGATTTTGTTTGGATGACAACTTATTTACGTTCAACGAGATTCACCGGGTGGCATGTCAACAAAACGACATGCGTCCACCATAAATTACCGTGAATCGTCATCAGTACGAAAAGGTTCGGATTAATCAAATTACCGCATATGCTATCATAGTTCAGCCCTGGGGCTTGGAGAGAAGAAAAAAAAAAGGGCGAAAGTTCACAGTACAATAACTGTTTCTATTTGTGTTTGTGTGCCATGGGCTTTTATGCGGGTTTCCTTTTGAATTCACTCTTTTTAGAATTTAGCAGATGATTTGATTTTATCCCGGTCTCTCTTCTGAGGTATCACATTAGGCACTCTGGTCATATTTTCACTTAACTGCTAATTATAGTTACCATATTTGTCGATAATTCAATGACCTAAAGATAATCAATATAACATGATATTTTTATAATATACGCATATCATTATGTTTTTTTTAGGCATCAAGATGTAACATGTCGACCCGAACTTCATTAATAGAATCTGGCTCTTAATTTATGTTAGAGAACATCTTTTTCGGTGAACTGGTTTCGCTCCTGTCCGCTTCCATTTTGAACATGGAATTAGTATTTTGATTATGAAGAGTGTCAATTACCAAACGTCCTGTCAATTAGCTGATGAGCCCCTAGGTGGCTTGCTTGACGACCCACTTTTCTTATTCAAATGTCCAAAAATCATTATAGACGGGTATGACACAGCCCCACCATTGACACATTGACAACGATTTGCAATTCCCAACCCTTCGAACCCTGGATTCTGTTTTTTTTTTTTTTTTTTTTATTCGCTACATTTTACAATAAAACAAGAATAACTGTGATTTGTCATTATTCAAAGAAGCAATTTGTTATCATGTAATTTTTATCATACCGTTTCGTACTAAACCAATATGATTACACTGTATATAGTGTAAATGGTTATTATACTGCGTGTAAGAATAATATATCATAATGAATAACTGACAATCATTTGTTTTTATGGATAAATTGTTTTAAAAAAATACAATTTGAATGTTCAAATTCTCATCATTTAGAAATGTTTAAGATATTGTATAATTAGTGAATATGTCAAATTTAAAAATATACGGTATATTTACAAAAATGAACAAAAATAATAATTTATGGGTTTAGAAAATATGATAAAAAATAGTTAATATTAAATTAAATCACAATTTGAGTTATAATGTATGATTTATAGATTTTGTTTAATAGACAGGCAATATATATTGTTTCTATAAATTATATCTAAAGATTTAATATGATAACAAATACAGTAAGTTAAATCAAATTTATTTTTTCTAGATAATCTTTATCATAATAATTTTTATTATTTTGATTTATAATATATATACTGTATTTAATAGATAAATACTATTTCTTTATTTAATTATACTGTATATTGCAAAGTATATATTTAAAAAGAAACAACATCTTTTATATGCAATTTGCAATAAGTTAAATATTAATTTGCTTATAATAATTATTTAATCTCTACTAGAAAAGAAATTTTGAACTAATATAATGGTTATATGATGTTAAGTAATTTCAAATATTTATTTAACAAAGATTAAAATTTCAAATTAATATTAAAATAATATTAAAATAATATCAACTTATAATAAACTTAATGTATGAATATAACAATACTATTGGCAAAGTGAGTGACACAAAGTATGTTACACAAGTGGCACTAACAAGCCAATGGAAAGAGCAATACTCTAGGAATACAATGGTTCAATTTATGTCTCTCTGGGACATCTGAAATTTGAAATATCTTGAATTAATGATTCTCTATTATATCTAGGACATGTGACATATGCAGGTAATATTTGATATATGGTACATAACATGTGATACTCAATCTTATAAAGTATTTGATATTATAATAATATAAATTTACAAATACCAATAACTTTATTTTGTTTCACTTTTAGTTTCTTTAATTATTAATAAGGAATTTTAAAAGTATTAGAATAATTAGAATAAAATATTAGTTTATTATTTCACTGTTTCACTTTATATTACATAATATGATCTCCAGAGAACCAATAAGATTATATGTACTATTTTAGACTTGTATTTTATTTTATTTATTTATATTAGGAAAACATATACAGTCGAGGACAAAAAAAAACACCTTTTTTTTCAATTAATATTTTTAATTATAATTCAATAAATAATTATTTAAATTTTATGA